TGTTCAATTTAGCTAATTTTATTTATTTTTTACTCCGGTGGTGGTTCATCTTCTTCAATGGATACTACTTTCAGACAGCCAATGGAATTGACACTTTTACTGAAGTCTGAAGTTACTCGTCTGACAGATAGTGGTTCCAATCCTATGAGCTTGCATCGGTCAGAATAAGGAGGAAGATTGGTCGGATCATTCCAGGGAAGTTGTCTCAGTGCAAACCGTAAGAACCTTTTCTGCACCCGTTCAATCGTGAGAACATGAGCTACATAATAAAGGGACCAAATCGGAGCAGCGTACTCCAGAATGCTACGAACCAACGAGCAATAGAGAGTTTTTAAAGCGTGGATGTCGGTGAACTCGAAAGCGTGGCGACGGATGAATCCCAGCACAGAAAAAGCTTTGGCAGTGGTATTGCTCACGTGTTCGTTGAATCTGAGCCTCGAATCGATGGTATCGTCAAGGTCACAGATGGACGACACACGTTCCAATGATGCAGTTTCCATTCTGTATTGATGAAGAATGGGGTTATTGACCCGCATGCCGTTATCGCCACACCATACCAGTATAGTATCAATATCTTCTTGTAGGGCAATACAATCCGGAAGAGAAGCTATGACACGATACAGTTTTAGGTCATCAGCGAATGAAAGCTTAAACGAGGAAAGCTGCAGACACGGGTCATTTATAAAAATGTTGAATATTAATGGTCCCAGAACGCTTCCTTGGGGTACACCAGACGTGACTATTTCAAGGTTTTGTAAGCCCTTATGTGCTGTTGTAGTTACACACTTTACTTTTTCCGTTGCGAGTATGTTGAACTTGGTCATTTTCAGCGAAAATTGTAGTTCTATTTTTTTTCAAATTTTGACCTAAATACCATACGATCATTAAAGAGGTTTAACAAATATGTAACGACTGGAACAAACGCGCACAAAACTATTTTAACAAGCGAGTGCATGATTGTTAACGGAATGGCGACTTGTGCGAAGGATTGAGCATGTCAACCCTGTCCTAAAGTACCGCCAGTCGGGGTGACAGAAAATGATGCCGAACATTCAACATGTTTTAAAGATGATATAAAGGACAAACCCGAATTTATTGCAACGCACATAAACAGCTGTAACTTTTTAACCACGGTAACAAATGACATTAAATTTTCAGAGAAGATTTTTAGACGAATTTTTAGTAACACAACAATAGACCAAAGTTTCATGGCAAACTAATACCCACTTTTCAATTAGGGAATCCAAAAGTTGTCTTTAGACTTTGTACAGTTGCAAAAAAGTCCATTCTCGAAAATTTTAGAACTCTATGAGCTTTTTTGAAATTCTTCTCAGAAGTCCTCTGGAATTATTTTTAGAACTCTTCTTCACTTTTACTCAGAACACCTTGGAACTAAAATTCCCTTGGAGTTTAAGAAGAATATCCTCTGTATGTTCCAGAAATTCTTACCAGTATTAGCTTGAAATTATCCTCGGAAATTACTTGAAATTTTCCTCAACATCCCTTTGGAATTTCATTCAAAATTTAAATCTCTCGGTATTCTTTTCGAAATTATCTTGTATTCACTAGAAATTATTCGCAGAATTTTCATGAAATCATTCCCAGAAATATTTTCTTTTGGAAACGTCCTCAGAATTCAAAACCCTTTACGTTCTTCTTGGAAATCAAGTTTAATTTGTCTGTCCATTCACCAAAACGTTGTAGTTTTTCTATCCGAAATTTTCAATAAAACTTGCCCCTCCATTCACCAGAACTGTGCAATTTTTAGATCAGGAATTTTTAATTCAGCTTGCCCCTCCATGCAGCAGAATGTTGCAAATCATACACTAGAATTTTTCAATACAAACTTTCCCCCAGAAAATTTAGCACCAGAACATTTGAATTGACCAGAACGATGCAAATTTTCCACCGTTAATGTTCAATTAAAATTGCTTCTCCAATCTTCTGATTGGTGCCGATTTCCTTTTTCCATTTTCCACCAGACATTTTCAAATAAAGCTTGCCCCTATTTTCATATTTTTCACCATAAATTTTCAGTAAAGCAGCTTCCCTCCAGTCATCAGAATGGTGCAAATTTTACACCAGAAATTATTATTAAAATTTGTTTCTCTATTCAGCAAATTTAAGACCGAAGAGTTAAGAAATTTTCATTAAAGCATGCTCCTCCATTCACCAGAACGGTGCACCAAAAATTGTCAGTGAAGTTTGTTTCACCATGCACCTTTGTGCAATTTTCAGGCTTTGCCTCTTCATGCAGAATGGTGCAAATTTTCCACCATAAATTTTAAATGAAGCTTGCATTCATCAGAACGATTCAAATTATACACCAGAAAAATTTATAAACCTTGCTTTTACATTCACCACAGTGTTGCGAACTTTCCACCAGAAATTTTCATTTAAATGTGCACCTCCAAATTTTTAGGGTGATTCAATTTTAGAACTAGAACTTTTTTCTCGATTTACCACCACTAAGGTGAATTTTTAACCTTAAATTTACCTTTTTCTTTTAACCCTCCATGAACAATCTTGAAAAAAAAACACACCAGAAATTTTTTGAATTCACCAATGTGGTGCAATTTTTTGACCAAAAAATTTCATTAAAGTTTGTCTCTTCATGCACCTTTGTGGTGCAATTTTCAGGCACCATCTCAAAGGAATTGACGCAATAAAAGGGTTTCAATTTTACCTTCAAATCAAGTTATCAAGAAATCTAGATGTTTTTTATCATAACTTTGAAAATGTGGAAATTGCCCCACCCTGTGCACGCCAGTGAGTTTGGTACTCCTGAATCTTGATGAATGTGGGCGTCTTAAAAAGAAAGAGAAGGATTAGTAATTTCCATTTAATTCCACTACTTTATTTGGTAATCCTTGACAGATACGCGTATTTCGTCTACAATGTGCAGACTTCTTCAGTTTCTTGTACTAATACTCGAGTATTAGTACAAGACACTGAAGAAGTCGGCACATTGTAGACGAAATACACGTATCTGTCAAGGATAAGCAAATAAGGTAGTGGAATTAAATGGATAATACTAATCCTTCTATCTCTCTCTCTTTCTCTTTATAATTTAGTGCTATTAATTTTTCTATCAAAATTCAAAATATCGGTGCGAGCCACAATCTATATTTTCACTAAAGCTACACTCGAGAGCGCTCTCAAGTGTACTTTTAGAGAAAACACAGAGTTTGGCTCTACGGTGTGAATATTTTAAATTTTGATAGGGAGAATAATAGCACTTAACTATCTATTTTAAGATGGGTTAAATAAAAATACAATTGGATTCAACGCAAGCATTCTATATTAAAAGTAACGAAAAACATCCAAAAGAGCGATCCATCCCTGCCATCCGGTATTCGGTGCATTACGGTATTAGGAAAATAATTAAAAGAATAAATTGGAACGGACGCATCAAATCGATCAATGAACAATTTTCGTTATTGTTGTCTCCATAATTAAGGGTTGGTTGACTGAGCACGATAATAGGTTTACCTATTCTTGGTGTCGGTGATTAGTACAATGATGAATACAAGGGAATTAAAAATCCTGTGTGCCAATCAGTTGATGAAACCAGCAGAAAAGGTGAACGAAGATGACTTTGCTTATACTCATAACCGGATTAATTAAAAAAGTGGTATTTTAAGGATCTGTATCTGTATATCTGACAACGCTACTGTGGATCTGCAATAAAAATCCTGGTGCAAAGATCGAAAAGAATAAGCTATAACCTAATCAAGTGGACCTTCCTTTGGATGCGCTTCAGCAAAACTTTCAAAAGCTGATATAACCGTTGCTCAACTGCATTTAGCCAAGAAGGCGAATAACTAGCCGAAATATCCCACATGGTTAACTTAACTTACTATTGATCGCTCCTCGAACGTCAATCTTCCCTCGTTCTATATTGTTTGCGAATTGAATTCAATTCCAGGAACCGGTCACTTCCATCTATAAGTATACTGCTACTGGTGCGATGCCACCATTAATCCTTATCAACCATTCCCGCATTCTCAGCACACGTAACACAATTTTATCGAACTGGCTTCCCATGCTCACAGAAGAAAAACAGCTTTCCTCCTTTATCAGGAGTCTCCAAATTGACATTACACCATGCCGCCTTAAATGCATCGGTAGTTCGGCAGAGCAGCAATCCCTGAGTGCCGTCGGAAAAGCTCCCACTCAGGGAAAAGTGTCAAGCAACTCATTCTCACTCCTCTCCTATCAGTATTTTGCCCCCGAGAGAGAGAGAGTGCCTCATTCTCTCACGATCCCGCCACCGACGGCGACGAGGTTGGCCACGACCAGCTTCGAGTCAGTGTGGTGCGCCATAGCGCGAAAGGAATTGATTTTAGTCCTGACCGACCGACCAAAGTGGACTGTGTGTGTGGAGTCTGGGGGTGTCCTCTGCAAAGGAAAGAAAAAATCCAGGTTTTCTAACCAGTTGATCGCCGCAGGTTGGCAGCTCGCAGAGAAGCGTGCGAGGTGAAAGGAGATCCGGTGAGGTGGTGGTCAGCGAATTGCTTTTGTTGCGATATGGGGAAATAGCGTGTGACGGCGGCGGGGACCTCGTGGAAGCGGGAGTTAGCTCCAGTTAATAACAGTCAATATTCGGCGGTACGGATATCCTTAAAATGTTGTGTTTTTCGCTGCTGCTGGTACCAGGTGTGGGAGTGTGAGTGTTTGCGCGTGAATGTGGTCAGTTAATGACGTGCTTTATCGCGTGGTGGCCAGTTGCTTTGGCGTTTCGCTGCCAGTTTCGATTTTTAAGGTCGCTCGTAAAATTTCATTCGGAGCAGTCTGTTGATTCAGGACGGAGGAATCCGCGGAGAAATCAATAAAAGTTAATTGTGCTGACTTGGTTGTGTTTTTTTTACCCCGGCTGGATTGGTCGTTCGTTGAAGTGTGAGAATTCGTGATAGCAGAACATTCATATAACTCGAATTGAATGGGTTATAAATTTTCAGGATTTATTAAAAAACGATGTTTTCTCTGTTTTTTTGCAGGTTGGACTGGTGGTTAATAAATCGGTACTCAAATCGAGTGTGGCAAAATAACAATGTTTCAACGTGGAAATCCGACGAGTGGAGCTAAGCGCGAGGACGGTGGTAGTTCGGGGAGTTGAATAAAATCGAAGCATAGTGAACCTCTAGCGTGGTTCGCCAGTAGCTGAAGTGGAAGTGTGTGAAAAACGTGACAACGATGATTAATTATGCAACATATAGCAATCGAATCGGTGTAACTCGTCGATCCACCGAGCAGCAGCAGGATAGTAGCAGCAATGGCAACGGCATCTGACATGACCTAGATCCTGTCTGTCGAGAACCTAGAACGAGGGGTCCGTCGATGTTCTTTCCCTACGCTGCTCATGTTGTTGACGTTGTTCTCCATAAGTGTACGTGTCTATTGTAAATAAGTAAGCTCGACGATTCAAGAAGCCTTCGAAGGCTCAGGTGTTGGAAGAAATATTTCGACATAATCCTCTACCAGAAGCGTAGATGTGTGCGTCTTCGTGTGTACAGTTCATTGTAAATAAAACTTCAGGTGCCAGTTCTTTCACCGTTGACGAAACCCCTTCGGATAATTTCTAGTGTACAGAGTTCATAAAGTGTTGATCAGTATCAAGTGCAACTATTCTTAGCTAGTAGATGTTCCGCAAAATATTAATCTAAAAGCAGTTTTCTCCAACCAAGTTTATCTCATACCGTTAAGCAAAGAATAATTAGCGCTAGATTCTAAGTGTTGCATTTACCAAATAAGCCAAAGTAGTGGAAAAGTTACTTCAAACCAAACAGCAAAAAAGTTGATCTGTGTACAGTAATAAGCAAAGCTGATCTAAAAAAAATAAGCAAAAGTTACTTCGTAGTCCTTTCAATCGTGTGAGTGTGATTGTGTATAATAATCATCATCTGTAATAAAGCCAGTAGCATGCAAACGAAGCATTTCATGGCAGCTCAAAACTACCGCATAATGGCAGCAGCAGCAATGGTTCTACTCTAGTACACACTCGTACAAAGCAACTAGAACGAAGTGAAAAAATCACAACTCTACCTTAACACCCCCTCCTCCTTCCTACTTTTCGTCAGACAAAGTAACACTAACTGGAATCCCCAGACCGGGCTAATATACCCCGTGAAAAAAACAAGTAATAATCATAGCCATTAAGCAGAATAAATAAAGTGGACTTACCACTCCCCTCAAATTCTAAGCCCGTTGCAGGTCGAAGGAAAAGCCCGAGAGAAACATAAAAAATTCGGTGAAAAATGACCAACTCGTTCCATTACTCAAATAACTGAACCGAGGGTGCTCATAAAGTTTTTACCGTGAAAAAAAAAAAAAACAAAACGAAAACTAAAAAGTTGAAAATCCACCCTGGTGGAAAGTTTGCTCCGTTGTGGTTAGAGTTTCGAATGGAAGTGTGCAAATATTAACAAAAGGAAAAGTTAATCTTCGCTCGAAACCATCGCAGCCGCATTGGAAACATTTCGACTGATCAGTGAGTAGTGTGTTGGGTTGGAATTGTAATTGGGATGCTATCAATATATTTGCCACGGTTGGCAAAGGAATCTAAGACAGCGGCAGTCAGTTTGGTGAGAGTGTGCAAAAGGTAATCGTAACCCACAATCGCAGTTGTCGTACAATTTGGTGGGAAAATTAGTGTATGTGCCACTCTACTGGAATAAGCAAACGGAGTCACGACGACAACATCGGCCACAATGTCGGAAGCATCGACGCCCAATGACGGACAAGGTGAGTGGAACTTGCTATGCGTTATTTTTTTTTGTAATGGATCATTACTATTGCTTTTGATATTATAAAACAGTGCGGATACAGATTAAGAGAAAAGGGGACTGTGAGGTAGCAGGTGGGGATTTTTTTAAACCATCGGACAGGTTGGGCCGAAGGGTCTCAGAATTTAATGAAAATTTGCCCACAGGTACAGTTTGTGCTTATATGAACGAAAACATTTTTTTGAAAATTCGGGGTGGTTAATTTCCCTGGAATTTTTTTGATTAATTTTCGGATTTTCCCGGTCATCACGTAATTTTAAAATTCGTAAGTCATAAACCAAGCATCGTAGAACGAATGTGATGAAGTTAAATGATAAAGAAATTATCTCAGCAATCCCTTACCAATATAATCGGAAAATGTTTCTAATGAAAATTTTTACGGTTGAGGAAAATTACAAAGAAAATCAGGAAAAAACAATGTCAGGGTAATTAATTATTTTTCTTCGGTGAAAATTTCAGTGGGGTGTCTTTTACCGGTTATGAATTATGACCAAAGAACTAACGAGCCGGAAAATTTTGGATCAACTTCTCTGATTTTTACGAAATCCAATTACTTGAAAATCCATAACTCATGAACCAAGTATCGTAGAAAAATACTGTAATGATAATAATGATAAGGCAATTATTTCGCAATCCATAGAAAATATAAACTGAAAAAGGTTTTCTATGAATTTTTTTTACAATGGATGAAAATCTCAACAGGGAAAACAAAGTAATGGATCATGATTTTTTTCAATATCTTTTTCTTTCATGAAAATCTCTAATCTCGGAGCTCTAGGATCAGTTTCATGGATGGACCACTTTTACGGATGTTCCGCAGCGCCCGGACGACGGTCCCATGGCCTTACAGGCCCATGTTTAAGTTACGACCCCAAATTCTTTCTTATATCACAATTCCTAATGTTTTCAAAAAAACCACGGAGCTCTAGGATTATTTTCGTGGATTGATCACGTTTGTTCCAGATCTTCCGGAGGACCACTTCGTTGTCTCCAAGATCCATATATAGAAACCATGACTCTGTATTGTATTTGTAACTATGAACATTTAACCTCGGATAAGCCGCTAGTATTCGACTCAACTTCTACTAGAAATTGAATTAAGTGAATTTTGTTACAAGCAATCAACAATGAATTATCGGCTCCGTAAAGCTAACGCGTTTGAACCATCAAAATAAACGAAGCAGATAAAAACCCACGAAAAAGGATTTATACTATAAATGAATCGTACACATCGTCATTGTTTTTGATTTCCGTTTATTCAAAGCGAGATGGCCACGATCGCGCGTGATTTATTGTTTGGAGAGTTTTTGCTTAATTTGAAGCGTGGAACGAATTCTGGAAAGCATGTTCCGCAAAGTTCATTTCTAGATTAAATGAAGGAAAGGCTGGTTCCATTTTGATTCGTTGTGTTTTAGTCCACTCGATTAGACTTGTGGAACGAATCTTCAAATTAATTACACTAGTTTACAAATAAAAGTAAAACATATCTTAAGTGTTTAACCTACGATTTTTATGTAAAATCGTGCGCTGAATCCAAAAGTGTAGTCAAAAATATCACAGTAGGATAGTTTTTGAGATAGAGCTGAAAATAGAATTTCACTTTAAAAAAATACTTTTTTTCTAAAATACAAATAATTTTGGCTGTAATGAATCTGTGTCGTTAAATAAATGGTGAGAAAATTGCCTTTTGATCTTTCGTTAAATCCGATCAGCTGAATACTTTTGGTCTGTGAAATAAGTGGTATTGTTGATAATTAATAATATGTTGAATTTTTTTCAAATTTTTCTCATTTGAAACATATCTGAAATTATTTTTTTCATGGAAACATAAAAAAAAAATAAAAAAAAAATAACATAGTATTAATCATCAACAATACCACTAATCTAATTGACAAACGGTATTCAGTTGATCGCATTTTTTTTAAATCTGGGTGTTTTTCTCAAGAGTAACTTTTTAAAGCGGTGTATCTAAAAATGGATTTATTTTTATAAAAAAAAATCATTATTGGAAAATGACTTAACTGATCAAAATGACATCTGAGAAGAAGTTGTAGGTAATTGAATTTTCTTTGAGAAAAAATACATTGAAAGCAAAACAAAAAATCATAAAACAATGATTTTCTCGGAGAGCATCGATTTCCGTAATATTTTGTGTGATGAAAGCTGAAATTATATCCTAAAAGTTCGTGAAAAGTGTTAGCCGGTAGTTTGCTCAATTTAATTTTTATTTATATTAATTTGTATTGAATTTTACAACATACTTGTTCCTTGATTTGTTTTCCGTCGATCTTGTTTTCCGTGCTGAGCACCAATGCTACCGACGCTAGGGAGACAGCTCTCACACCTGGACCCTACCTATCGACCCATCAACTCATGAACCGTTAACCAACGGCTTACTTTCCGTCCGAAGGAAGGCGTGATCAGAGATTTTATGCCTCAGAATATCCCGACGGCGCCAACTGGGATTGAACGCGGGCCCTTTGGGGTGAGAGGCAATCAGTTTACCAGTTTACCAGTGGCACCGCTTTTTAGAACACACGAAAATGGCACATTTTTTAGTAACATAAAGCCACAAATGGGTTCTATGCATAAGCATGAGCATGAGCATGATTGACCGCCCGGGGATACAACCATAGAGGTAACTCTAAGACTAGAAGGTCCCGAAATAACGTGCTCAACTTTTTGGCTCGGCTCTGGTACTATCTTCGGTCCCAAGCTAATCGATTCACCCCTCGAAACATAGGAAAAACCAATAACCCCTCATTTTATCTGTCAAACTTTCATAGCGAATCAAAACAAACATTGCGTAGTACTAGAATTTCGACTAGAATGGGGTACGTTAATCGTTTGCTTGGGACCAATAGGCTAGTCAAGTAGTGAGTCAATTTAAAGGGTGTCCACGATGAAATTGCCACACACAAAATTGATTCGCAAAATTCGAGTTTTCATCCGATTGCCATCAAATTTTCAGGGATTGAGAAATAACTATTAAACTTCATTTTACCATTTTACTCGTATTTTATTTACAGTCCATACGCAAATGCCCGCACCTTGGCCTTAACCCCGGCCATAAGATTCTGCACAACCTGTGAATCAACCGTTTTTTGCATGTAAACCCATACTTTCTTCAGTTCCTCGACTGTCTTCACTACCTTAGGTCGTTTAAGAAGGTGCTGCTTCATAATCGCCCAGTACTTCTCGATGGGGCGGAGCTCCGGAGTGTTGGGAGGGTTGAACATTTTCGGCATGAAATTGACCTTATTGTCCGCATACCACTTCAGCACGTCCTTGGAGTAGTGGCATGAGGCCAAATCCGGCCAGAAGATTGTTGGGACGTTGTGGGCCTTCAGGAGAGGAAGCAACCGCTTCTGGAGGCACTCTTTTATGTACACCTGTCCGTTCATCGTGTCCTGGGTCACGAAAGGTGCACTCCGCTTCCCGCACGTGCAGATGGCTTGCCAAACCAGGAATTTCTTCGCAAATTTGGACATCTTCTGAGTGCGGACATGCTCCGGAACGCTGAACTTATCCTTGGCCGTGAAAAACAGGTTGCCGGGGATCTGTTTGAAGTCGGCCTTCACATATGTTTCGTCGTCCATGATGCAGCATTCAACTTTCGTCAGCATGTTGAGGTACAACTTCCTGGCACGGGTTTTGGCGGACTTGTTCTGCTTCTCGTCGCGATTAGGGGCCTTTTGTACCTTGAACGTTCGAAGCCCAGCCTTAGTTTTGGCCTTCTGGACAAAACTTCGGCAAGGTGCAGCTTCTTAGCCACATCCCTAACGGAGGCGTTCGGATTTCGGTTGAAGGCCCCAACTACGCAGTTGTGATTTTTGGTGTTGTACGGAATACTTTTTCCTTCACTTCTGGGCTTCCGATCGGTGGTCAACCGTTCCTCGAACCGCTTAATCACTCGCGACACCGTGGAATTCGCGATTCCCTACGTTTTAGCGATGGAACGATGCGAGAGATCCTTGTTCTCGTGATGAATGCGCAAGATTTTATCACGCATGAGCTGTTCTTTCGACTCCATTTCCGCGAGTTTTGATCACAGGACTTTAAAACTTGCAGGATGTAAATAATGCACTATGAACTAAATCCACCCAAATTTTCATTAAATTCTACCCAACGGTTAAAAAGTTAGAGCAATTTCATAGTGTGGTAATTTCATCGTGGACACCCTTTAAAATCGTTAGTTTCGTATTGATTGTTGATACAACTCTGTTATTGGGAGATCAACTGTACTGACCACCACAGCTGTACTGTACTGTACAGAGAACCAATAGACGTTGCTTGGGACTAGCAATCATCCTCCATGCGTAAAAACTGTCCGTAAAACTGGTGTAAAAAAGCCGAGAAAACTTCTGCCCTTCTACGAGAAATCACTGGGATGTTGAGTAAAAGGGTTAAGATTACAGCATGATTGGTTTTGGTAAGCGATATGCTCAATTGATGTCATCCTAATGATACAATAGCGCAAAGGAGCTTGGGTTATAACCCACGGTCTTCTGCTCAGTAAGCAAAATCGGTCGCTACTAGGCCACCAAGCTCCTTATATCACAAAACAATTACGATCAAGTTTCCGTTAAACTTGTTGCTACTAGGTTTTGATTTCGGCAGTGACCTCGCTGACGACAACAACAACTGCTCTTGAGAAGGATTTTGTGGGTCACAGAAATGTTTGGATTTGGAAAACAGTCGAGGTGAGTGCCTCTTGGAATTTCTCTCATCTTATAATATATATACATATGCAACAAAGAAAATGAACCTACTTTTTCAAATGCCATTAGACAGGAAGTTTAAGACTTGACATTTTGCAACACTGCAATTTCTGAGAAGATTCGAAATTGGCGTGTGTCAGATGAAATCTCACTTTCTGATCATAAACACATTATGTTTGAATGGGGTGGAGGTGATTTACCACCTTCTGCATTTAGAGATCCTAGGAAAACAAACTGG